GAGCCCGATGCGGGACTCGATCCCGGGACTCCAGGATCATGACCTGAGCCGAAGGCAGTCGCTTAACCAACTGAGCCACCCAGGCGCCCCTGTCTGCTGTATATTTTAAGGACGAGAAACTTTTGGTCAATACATCTAAGCTAAATTAAAATGATGGGACACTCAAATTCTTTTATTTCAAGTACCACATTTTTTTTTTTCTTCCCACCAGTTGTGAAACTGTGATGAGGAAGTTCACGGTTAGTAGGTGATAGGTAAAAAAAAAAAAAAAGCATTTAGACATATGTTTGACATTCATATTTCTTTCCTGCTCTGTACAAAGGGGCCTTGTGCTTAACAGGCATTTTTGTACTGGTGTTCACAATAAAATCGGTTCATTCATACCTTGCTAAGAAAGCGGCTGTGCACATACCAGGATTCAAATTCCCTGAAGATAATCTGCTCATAAGAGACACTAGCACCAAAATATTCAAATATAAATTATAGTTGTGGAGATGATTTTGCTTTTATTTTTAAGTCAGAACGAGCCTCCAACATAAATGTTGAATACGAGACACATACGCCAACACTCCTAAACCCATCTATCCAAAGAGCTTGCCCTATGAAACAGTCATTTTGTTAAGCAGCGTGCTGATTCCAATGTGGATGCTACTGTTCAAGGAATGTTTGAAAAGCCTCTACAGAACTGCATCGCCACCAGATTTCATGCCTTATAAATTCGGCTCGTTACTCTCAGGTTTCTCATTCCTCATTTCGAACTCTATTCTCACAAGAGAAAGATTTACTAACACCAGTGAAGAGAATACTAAGTACACGCAACGACAGCAGCTACAAGAATATCCAGTGTGTGCGCCAAAAGCCCTTGAACGGTTAACACGCCGTTACGTTCTGGGAATTGACACGTCTGCCCAATTACTTCCTCGGTATAATGAACTAAAACGATCTTCACTGCAGCAGACCATGGAAGACATTCCTGAAAGACCAGGGGGTCCATTAGATGACTTGCAGTCCATCTATACCCACAATGGATTTTTGTGCAGCTATGAAACATTGTTGTTTAAAAAAAGCAACACCCACGATGACACACCTTGACTGAGGGAGCTCTCCTTATTGTCAGGTACGATTCTGAGCTTTACCCAAGATTTAGCCTATCTATTCTGACTAGACCAACAATTATCATTAGGGGGATGCCAATGAATCACCCAACTGGTTTTCATAGAATCACTCACTTGTGCCCTGACTCATGAGCGATGGTGAAGGCCAGGCCAAGCCCCGTGTCCTCATTGATGGTACAACTTCGGTACTTACTGCACATTCCACTGATGGGAGCAAACCCTATTGAGAGAGCAATTTCAAGTTTTAGTCCAAAGGGCACACATACAGATACCTGACCATTTCTTATGGCTTCAAAATGTTCTGCACAGTTTTAGTTTCACTGGTTAACATAATTAATTTCAGTTTAATTGATGCACGTACTTAATTTTTTTGCAGGGAAGCACTAAAGGCATAGGATTATCTGTCCTGCCCAGATAAATGCAGAATTTAACATTTTCTTTCCTTTTAAAAGATACTGTCATCAACAGATCCTCCTCCCAACCCTGTAAAGTCACTATGACTGTTGTATTTTCCATTTTACATACAGAACAGGAAGCTGCAGGACATTTATATGCCTTATCTCAATTAAACCAATGCAAAATATCCACCTAACAGCACTATTAGCATTAAAGCTCAAGGTATATTTTCTAAGAGAACATACATCCTGGTCTTTTTCTGAAGCAGACAACATGAAAAGGTCTGAACGATGTGAACAGAGTAAATGCATTTTTTTTCCTATTCACTAGAATGTGACAAATGCTTCTGTTTTCAAAAACTACTTCCTTCTAAGAGCAGCTATAAAATCATTCTAGCCAGTGTTTGAGTCTATCTTGAACCACATTACAGCGTTAAATGTCTTTCTTCCCCATTTGGGGTCCTCCTATGCAGAACAAGAGCATGTACCCAGTTAGTATTAAATACATGCTTGTGGATGGACTGCATCCACTTTGCTGCTATGTGGTCCGTGAGATAATCTGAGCAACTTAATGTGGAGGCATATATTATCACTGGCACCACCACCACCAACACTGAGCTAGAGGAGCATTAGTTCATCAAAAAAACAAACTGTTGATTTCTTACTGTATGCAATGGAATATACTAGAAAATACAGTATAGATGTGGAAGATATAGTCCTTACTCATTGTCTCGTGCAAATATAGAACAGCTGAGTCCTTTAAAGGTCAAGTAACTTTCTAAAGGATGCACGTCTATGCTACCCAAGGGCACAATGATGCACCATGGAGATCAAATTTTCTTCAGCAGCCCCAGTTGGGCTTATGGAATAAATCACAACTCGTCTAGTTAAACAATTCACCTCAATGATCATCAATAGAGTTAATAAGGAAAAATACAGAACGAATAAAGGAAATGAGCTCACCATTCCACCCTGACTTGAGTTAAATAGAACAATATTCACCACAGGGTACAGTGAAGATAACTACTCCACAATTTAAATATTAGGTCTTCTTATTAAGGATCCTTAGGGCCACCCACCCAGTAGACAGTTTTCACAGGTGTGAGTGAAACACCCATTCATACCTTACCTAGAGTGTCACATGGTTCATTCTTCCAGGAACAAATGTCAAATCCCGTGAGTAGGATGGCGTGGTCATGCCTCTTGCCATTCTTTCCAATGAGGGCAGACTGCCACTGACAAAAACTATTCAGAGACTGGTCTGCATGGTGGTTGATCAATAATCCTCCCTATGGGAAACCCACACAAATCAGAGTGTGAATTTGTCAGAGGTGAGAACGTTGAATTATTCCATTTGTACAAGCAAACACAGAAACACATTTCTAGGGAGAAAGGTCAGTAGAGGAAAACACTTGAGCTAAGGTTGGAGACAACTGATTAAAAAAAAACAGAACACCTTAAAGCTATTTCAGGTAAATTCTCACAATATTTAAAGCAACTACAGAGTTTTAGTAGTATACTTTATGACTGGTTCTATTTCTAAAAAAAAAATAATAATAACCTGACATCAGTTAGGAATATTTGTGTTCATCTCATGCTGGTATCACCTTTATAAAACTGTTAAAGTTTTTAGAACCTAATTATAAGTTAATAGTGATAAAGTTCAATGCCTTCTTCAATACCGCATGAGGAAGGTAGTGACCACAATTTATTTACCCCTATGTCAAAATTTCCAGCAAAGGGCTTGCCATGTCACAGATTAAAATCAATCCATCCATCAATCAATAAAAAGAAAACTCACTGAACGGATGTAGAAACAAATAATTATAAGACTCTGAGGGGGTAAGATAGGACCTAGCTTTAAGATAATTATTTACCAAATCTTTGCTTAAAACTATTGACTTGGGTCAAGTTGAGGGTTTTTAGAGTAGGTCTTTAATTATCCGTGAATTAGGATGCCTCCAGCTTCAATATCCTTGGGCAAAGTATTAAGTGGTAGGTTAAAGACAAAAGTGTCTCCCAATGACACACACCCTCCTTTCTACCTTCCTAAAATTCCAAGAACAATTTGACAGGTTAACCTCTGCAGCTGTACACACCTGGATGATGAGATTAATTTTTGTCTTGTCTCTGACTCCTTGCTTTGTACATTAATTACTGGGGTAACGGATGAAGAGGAGAAGCCACAGGGGACTTAAAAAACCTGGTAATCTCTACCTCTGAAAAATACAGTTTCAAACAGCATCAAAACACTAGAGGCTGTGAGTGCCATGCAATTAACACTTTATTATATGTTCTGGTTTTATGATTTACTCCATGCCTGTGTCTTGCACCTCAAGGTAATCAATTCAAGGGCAGTTAAATATTCCTTACTTATTCCCTGTAGTACCTAAGATGGTATTGGGGAGACAGCAGGTTTACTACAAGAATTTTCTGGTGACTTATTTTCAGTATGTTTTCAAAATATCTTTTTAAATCTACCTGCAATTACCCAGCATATCCAACGTACAAGATCCAACTGACCCTTAAATCTACTATCAAATGCCCCTTCCCTGTAAATATATAAAATTATTTTGTGATGTTTTAGTTATTTGAATATATAACCCTATTAGGTTGTACTTTCTTTGAGGACAGGGTCAGCCTATTTTCAAGATGGAATTTCTAATGACTAGTTCATGGATCAGTACACAGTAGGTATTCAATAAGTAGGTCCTGAATGGCAGAATGTATTTTTTTTAAGGATTTTATTTATTTATTTGACAGAGAGAGGAAACACAAGCAGGGGGAGTGGGAGAGGGAGAAGGAGAAGCAGGCCTCCCACCGAGCAGGGAGCCTGATGCGGGGCTCGATCCCAGGACCCTGGGATCATGACCTGAGCCAAAGGCAGACGCTTAATGACTGAGCCACCCAGGCACCCCCTGAATGGCAGAATGTATTAAGAAATAAGTGAAGTTTGGCACTTACAGGTTCTTGTTCCAGAAGAATGAGGCTCACCACAACAATGTTTATGTCACTTCCAATGGTCCCATCTTTAAATAGGCTAGAAACCTGTTGGAACAATTGAAATCAAATGAAAATAAACAAAATCTAAAAATTTCCAAAACTCTGTGTATTAATCAGACAGATTTATAAGTATGCAGGCTTCAATTTTACGAAATTGAATATATGTATATGTACGTATGAAGCATTTTCCTCAAAACTCAACTTTTTTCCAATAAAATTATGTGACTATAGCTGCTGTTCAAACCATACAAGGATATTCTGTGATTATTGGCTGTTCTGGAGATCCAGAGTGTTGGAGTCCTAACAAACTCCCTTACCATGTTCATGACCGTGAGAATGTACGTGGTGACATTTGCCTTGCCGTGCTTTTCCACCATTTTCTTGTCTGCTACCACAAGGGTTTCCACATTTAGGCCCTTTTGTGATTTTCCAGCTGATCTTCTGGGTCGCCCTGCACTCCCATACTCATCAAACCTGAGATAGGTATCCTCCGTGGGAGGCTTAGGGGCATCTACAATGAACATAAGAGCATTTGGAGGGGATTATCAGTGGAGAACATCTGGGTGAGATAGAAAGAAATCTAAACAGGGCAGGGAGAGAGTCCGTAACCAACACTTGACAGATCTACTGATAAATGATGACTTCGGTGCTTGTCCTGGGGCTTTCCTCCTAGTTTGTGGTAGGGAAAGATTCATTCAAAGAGGTTGGTAGATGGATAGACTCAACAACTCAAAAATACCCTAACAAGTGGAACACACACACACACAAACACACACACAAACTACAAACCTAGTTAGTACAGCAGGTCAACAAAAATCAATTTTGTCCGAATAGTCTTTAAAAACAGATAATGCTCATTTTATTTTATTCTAAACACTGCAGAAAGAGACATTATTCTTTGCATCTGAATTCATAACACTTTATATATTATTTTCTAAATAAAATTTAGAAATATACGTCCTACAAAACACTGTCCATGTCTAACATCCTTGTTTCAACAACACAAACTTGAATATAGCACAAAATAAGTGCTCAATAAGGACTCTTTGACCCAATATTGAGTTAGTTTTTGGGGACATATAATAGTCAGGGGTGGTATTTAAAATGATATTAAATATTTCACAAGAGGTAAGGGGCAGGCACCACCTTAACAGAGTGGATACTGGCCATGGCCTTTGAGAAAGACACCTGGCAGTGTCAGGATGTTGGGCCAGGCATGATCCCTTCAGTTAATGGGGAGGGACAAGTCCAAGGATTGCTGGGAGAGAACAGGGCATTTGGAAACGTAATACTAACAGAGAGTTATTTCAATACTTCAACAACTAGTACAGTCATAACAGTAAAGTCATTATAACTCTCCGCAGAGTGAAATTAAAAAATCAAATTATGTAGAGTTAGATATAAAACCTCAAGTTGGCCGCTTTGATAAGTGACCCCCAGTCTCAGTTTCTTTATCAGTGAAAAGAGCATAATACCCATAACACCAACCATAAGGCTGCTCTAAAGATCAGCTGTGATTTATCTATCAAATACATATCACGGTCACTAGGGACAGCACCACTATTATTCGTATCACTATTATCATAAATCTGTGCTAAATTGATGTTCCTTAAAGAGGATATTTCTGTTAACACCCCAAGTCCCAAAGACCGATTAAAATGGTACAAACATGATATTTCATTATTGCTCCCAATCAACAGCTCAGGGATACCACTACCCCTTCTTCTTGGGTAGAACCACCATCTGGCTGCTCTGTCCACCTCGGCACTCACCTGCCATTCATGGCTACTGAGCCTTTGGAATGTGTCTGGTGCCAGTGGAGAAACTGAAGTTTTAATTTTAATTTTAATTTCCATTTAAATTAAGAAAGCAGACCTTGATGCGGTGATTGAAAAACAAGTAAGTCTGGAACAGCATGAATATGTAAATCTACTTTTCTGACCTTAAATTTTATGAAATCCAAATACAGATTAAGTATTTCTGATGAGAATTTGTTGTCTACATTGGAATTGTGCTCTAAGTGTCAAACAATGACTAGATTTCCAAAACTTAATATAAAATAGCCGATTTATAAGTTGGTATACTGATTGCATATTGAGATGATATTTTATAATTTATCGGGCTACATAAAATATGTTACAAAAACTAATTTGCCTATCTTTAATTTTTTTTAAAAATGTGGCCACTAGAACACTTAAAACTACTTGTGGGGCTGACATTGCATTTCTCTTAGATGCCGCTGGTCTACAAAGTGCAGAGGGTTGTGCCTGGGTCACAAACCGTGTGCCTGGGTCACAAACCTGTATCCCACTGCCACCTCCACATAAGTGCCAATGTTCTCATTTCCTGTGGAGCTATCCTTCAAGAGCTCAAAAGGAACAAACATTCCAACCACCCCTGAGGATTCATCTTTGATTTCCTTCATTATTGGAAGACTGGGTACCTTTCTCAGGAGCACAGAAACCAAGATACTATAGGGACCCGTGACTAAAATAAACAAAAGCATATCAAGACTTTTCCTAGTTTAACCTAGAAGAATTGAGAACTGATCACCCAGTTTTTGCCTGACAGGGATGAATGTTGGTCCATCTCCAAGACTAATTTCAGGGAGTGCTTAGGGTAGCCCCATTTTAACCTGCAGAGTCAGCACACCTGACTGCACTCAAGAAAGCCTGCCGAGGGCCCACATAAGAACAGAGTAAGAAAAAGTTTCCTTACATACATTTCTTGCGTCGTCCACAAAAATGCTGCTTTTGCAACCTTGGGTGGTGATGCTCTCTTTCTTGACTCCGAGACGCATGGGGAGTATGAGTTGGGGAGTGCCCGGGATAATGCCTGCTGGAGCCTGGGTAGTCATGGCAATGCTGGACCTTCTCCTCAGCTGTCCTTTTGTACAGTATGTGAGGATGGTGTCCGGCAGGTGCGCTGTAGTTATGTTCCTGGGCCAGCAGCTGAGGTAACGGTGAAATGAGGAATTCGTTTTGTCGTGTCCTTATTAGACCTGACTAAAGAGCCAAACACACAGAAAACATTAATGGTTCCAGGCAATCCCTTCCTACGTGGTGATTTTCAACAACTGTTTAATGGCTACCTCCTGTGTGCTACTTTGTTAGCACCGTGCTAAGTAATTGACATCCATTATCTATTTCATATACACCATAAACAGTTACAATACTGTATGTTTCATATGTACCATAAACAGTACAATACTGTAAAATACCTCCATTTTACAGAAGACAAAACTGAGACTAAGAGAGTAAGTAGGAAAGCTAGCACTGGCATTGTAGGGAAGGAAAAAATAATTTTCCCTTCACCCTTCTAGGTTCTTGACTCAGACCTCATTGTAATAAAAGATTAACAGGAGAAAAACAAACAGATGTTTAATAACATGTATACCTTCCTTCAACATGGGAGTCACCCAGGAAAACTGAGTAATTCCCCAAAAGGGCCCAAGATACCACCTTATAAATTCTGTCTCCCGGGAAAGATAGAAGATGTTGAGGTGGTGATGGGGGCGGGGGAAGGGCAGTCATGCAAGGTTACCAGGAAAAGCACAGAAAAAAGAGCTATGGTTGATATGCAGATTTAAGTCCTGGCTTTCTGCACCGACAAGTTGCTAGAGATTTGGTCACCCTCCTGTTCCTGGCACAGAGAGGGAGGCACCCCCCACAAATGGAGATTTCCCTTGTGAAGGTAAAATGGTAACTTCTACTCAGTTTTCAGAGCTTTTCTTATGTCTGCTGTTTCTTAAAAACGATCAGCTGAAAATAATCCTTATGCCAAAGAGGCAGAGTGTGGGGCATCCAGAGCTCTCTACCCTCAGAAGCAGTGCCCTTAGCTACAGTTCCAGACTCTTCATTACTAATCGTGATGCGTAAGGACTCTTGTGCCTGAGGGCAGAGCCACGTGTCGTCCTGGAGCTTCTGCATCTATGACAAGGGGGACACAGCGGCAAACACAGGATGGAGGGGGCTGCTTCATAGCAGCCCGGCCCTCAAGGGACCCATAGCATGGGCAGGAAAAACTATGACATTCCATCCTGGTTTCACAAGTGCTAAATAACAGGACTAGCATAGGTGGCGGAGCAGGGAGAGTGGTCACGGTCATCTCCATGTGTTATCGACAGAATCTGCTAAATGGAGAAGAAAGAGTGAATCGGGACTTCTACCCCCTCCACTTTGACCTCAGTCTGTACACTCTAATTGATTCCATTGTTCTTTCCGGCTTATCTCTTAACTCAGGCAAAAGCCCCAGGGGGGCAACATATCCCTGGATGAAACTGAAACTACCTCCTCAAGCAAGAATGACTCCCCTGAGCCAGCAAGACCCCATGTGACTGACCCCAAGACAATGACAGACCTGACCTTCACTGCCCACCTGCACGTACCCACTAACCTTTGCTCCACATTTCCCTGATATAAACCTGGAAGTATTTTCAGCACTTTGGAGACAGCCTTTGAGATATGAGTCCACTGTCTTCCTGGTGCTGGCCTCACTGAAATAAATGCCCTTTCTTGTTTCCCCACAACTCGTCCCTCTGTCTTTGGATTCTGTCAGTGGCAAGTGGCCGGACCTGGTCTGTTTCAGGACCGCTGGAGCCAGGCGCTCTTGAACCCCTGTGCCTCAGCTATAGCAGGGGACTTGGCAAGCCCATCCAATCACAATTTCGCTTTCCAAGTTCACGGCACAAAGTGTGTATCTTTGTACCTGATATTTCAGCCGCAACACACCCCTGCCTTCCCTTCCACACCTCCGCCCTCTCTCTTCTTGCATTTGGTTCAGAAGGTCCTGGACATCCGGGCCCTGGGATAGCCAGTATGGTCTGCTGGCCCTACAGCTTCAGCCCACCCAGGAGCTTGTTAGAGATGCAGACGCAGGTCTCACCCCAAATCCACAGCATCAGAGTCTGCATTTTATTTAGATCCCCATGTGATGTGTATGTCTATGAAAATCTGAGAAGCACTGACAGAGGCTGGCCACTCTTAACTGTTGCCGAACATCAGAAACCCGCGGGGATCTGAAATGCACACACAGACTCCCTCACTCCCAGGCGGAATCCTGCACCATCAAAAACCAGATCTCTATCCTTGTGACTCATGCATCAGACCTTCAGTGCTGAACTGCTCTGGTGACTATCGCCATGCACCAAGGGCTTCGCGGGCCAGTCTTCTAGGGCTTCCCTTCTTCATGAGCAAAATGGGGACACTCCTCCCCTCCCTGACTACCTTACAAAGGGAGAAAGAATAACCATTGAAGAAGCCCTTTACACACTCTCACCTACAGCAACCTAGGTGGCTAAGGAGGACGGCTGATTGAACAAACAGTCACTGAATGCCAGGGAAGTGCGAGGCACACAACTGTGCAGGAGATACACAAACAGAGGAAGCTGCTCTGCTGGGGAGCCAGACACCTAAAAATTCAAGGATGCTACCAAATGCTAAGGGGGTGTCGGGGCGAGCACAGACTACTATGGGAACACAGAGGCGCCGGCACTTAACCCGCCTGTGGGCTGGAGGGGTTGCTGCATATGGGCTCTGTGCCCAGGCCTAATTTGGGCCCGCTGTTAGGGTTCAGCTCCTCATTCTTAAAAGAAGTCCCAGAACATGTGGTTTGGTCCTGATTTTCCTCCCCCTTCAGGAGGGTGCTGCCTTCGGAAAGACTGCCTTATTGACTTGAAGCACTGACCTATTATCTAGAACTAGGACATAGACAGATGTTTTCCTTGGCTCGGTGAACTCCCACTGAGCACCTAATTAGCAGCCCTGTGCCAGGGGTTGGCATAAAGAACAGAGGCACACAGCAAGTCAATAGAACTGTTCACATTCATGTTCTCAGGGGAGATTCTAGAAGAAGAGAAATCGATTGGCAAGATAAAAATTCAGACAAGTAAAATTCCACAATCTAGAAATCCTGTCCATCATCTCTTCAGGCTGGCTCTCAGAGCAACCCGCCCTTCCCCACCCAGCCCAGGGCCATGCTGGTAGAGGTTTTCATCCCTCATTTGGACACTTTCTGTTTAGTTTCCCAAAGCCTCCTCTCATATGGTCTCCTCACATTGGCCAGAGTCCTTGTCCTTGGTAATCAACTCTTCCCATGCACTCTGGTATTGATCTCAAATCCAAACCCCTTTTCCTGGCCCACGGGCCCCTGCATAACCTGCTCTGTGTGGAGCTGGGCAGTTTATCTGTCCCCTCTCCCTTCCTCCTCACCATTCTTACAGGACATTTCACTTCTTGAATCTGCTATGTTCTCTTACTTGCAGGGGAGCAGAATTTGCCACCCCAAAATATGCCTCTTTGGCACAAGGATATCTTGAGCTGGTTATTTTTAAGAATCAGCCCACACAGGGGTGCCTGGGTGGCTCAGTCCACTGATCTGCTGCCTTCGGCTCAGGTCATGATCTCAGGGTCCAGGGATCCAGCCCTGTATCACACTGGGCTCCCTGCTCAGCAAGGAGCCTGCTTCTCCCTCTCCCTCTGCCTTCTGCTCCCCCTGCTTGTGCTCACTCTCTCTCTGTCAAATAAAATAAAATAAAATCTTTAAAAAAGGAAAGAATTAGCCCGCACAGGAGAAGCTCTGAAAACCTAGAGAAGTTACCCTTCTCTAAGAGACGTTTATGTTTATAAAGGAAATCTCCATATATAAGAGTATCTTCCTCTGTGTACCAGGAATAGGAAGATGACCAAAGATCTGGAAACTCTTCTCAATGGAGAAGGTGTGGACTTAAATCTGCCTAACCACCATACCCTTGCTGACTGCACTTGGCCTGATAAGGTCCCATAACTTGCTCCCTCAACATCTTCTTCTGTCTTTAGCTGGAGATGGTATTTAGGGTGGTGTCTTGGGCCTTTTGGGGGAGATACCTAAGTTTTCCTGGGTCCCTCCCATGTATGCAGGAGGTATACATGTTATTAAACATCTTTGTTTTCTCCCGTTGATCTGTCTTTTATTACAGGGAGGTCTGAGCCAAGAACCTAGTAGGGTAGAGGGAAAATGATTTTTCCTCCCCCACACACTCTTGCACACTTTTTCTTTGACCTCTGATCTCCTGCACCCATTGACTTGCTTGGCTTCTGCTGCTCACTGCTTTGTCACCTTCCCCTCAAAGAAACTACACTCATGGACCTGTTTCTCCCCTACTTCCAAATGCTCTGACGCCACCGTTTCTTTGCTCATGTCTACCTACAGTGACAGAAACAAACAAAATGCCACCCTCCCCCCACCATACACTCTGTGACAGCTAGAGCCTGCTGTGTGTCACACGTTATCAGCAAATCGACATTTGTTTATTAGTCTACAAATGTTGGTGGAATAAGGGAATGAAAGAATCTCTGACCGCAGGCTTGCTGAGGACACGCTAGCCAGCGCCCCCTCCCTCCACAGCAGAGGAGGAGACCAGAGGTGGGAAGCAACAAGTTCAAATACATGAAAAACCAGGCACTCTTTCCTGAGTCCAGCTGTGAAGCCCGGAGCACTCCTGGGCGTGCTTTATTTGAACCTCACAACCACCCTGTGAGGAAATCTCAGTTGGAAGCACAGGTAGAATGGGGTCCCCCTGATGTGAACCCTGGCCTCTCAGGGCCCCCACCTCTTCCACAAGCGTGAAGACAAAAGACACCATTAACAGTCCCCAGCAGACAGAGTGAACAGTTAAAGGGGTGGGGGGGGGAAGCAGTGATTTATCCATGAAAGCCCTCCTGCCTTACTAACTTCCTAACTTGGTTAAATTAATATCAAAGGCTTAAGCCACTTAAGTGCCTAAACTGGACTAACCGGTTGGGAAACTCTTTCTCTATTCTCCCTGTTTCTTGAGCACCTTAAGCAACTCAAAGGCACAGCGAAAGCTTCTGTGTTGAGAAAGCATAAAAAAAAAAAGAAAGAAAAAAAAAGAATTGTCACCCTATATCGGGACAAACACACTGGCCCCACACGGCCCTCTCTTTTTCAGTTCAGAGTGACAAGGACAAAAATCTAGAACAATTCTTCAAAACGAAAAAAAGAATTTTACAATGCCGGATATTAAGGAAGCAACATTCTTTTTTGGGTTCAGTTTGACAAAAAACATTGGAGTCTGACCAAATAAATACATTTTATAGTTTAAAAATCCAAACCCAGCACCTCCAAAAAGAGCCATCTGTTTATTTGGAGAATATGTGAAGCATCTTGAGTTACTGAACACACGCAACGTTCTGGCTCCCACAGTGGTGAGGAAGATGGAGCGGTGGTCTCATGTGGCTTCCAGTTAAATGCGGGAGGCCAGGATTAAGTAAGATCACAAATGGGTATGGAATAGTCCTTTGGGCAAAGTATGAAGAAACAAAGTGCTCTATGAGAGAAAACAAGGATGAGGAGAGTGGGAGATCACGGGAGGCTTTCCTGAGGATGGCACTTCCAGGAGACCAAAGCCCTTTCCTGGCTCATGGTAGGGACGGGGGGAGCTGGTGAGGGGGGCAGGAGGGGACAGAGACCCAGTGGCCTACCAGAAGGGGATGGAGTCTGACGATGCGCTGAGGCTTCCCCTAGGCTAGGGAAGGACAGGAAAGGCCTCAAGTCCCTGGGGAGGTGGGTTTGCTACACTGAGAGCTGTTCCCAACTCCCCACCCAAGGGATCTCCTCTCTCTCAGAAGAGAGAGGGAGCCAGGGATAAAGGCCTGGCTACCCCCCCTTCTGGACGGAATACTATTCCCACATTAAGTGTCAACCTTCTCCAGTTTCAAAGACTTAGAAACCCAGTCACATAATTTAACTGCTAAACTTAAAGATGCAATGGATACAGACCAAGACTCAATATTCTATGCAGATCATAGTTTACCACTTCATACTTTTAGAAAGGAGAGACTATAAGATGATATACTGTTAGTCGTTGTTTTCTATTTCAGATTTCAGTGGTCAAATAAATACATCAAGGACTCATGGAGGGTATAAATCATACTTCAGGAAACTGCCCTTTAAAACACTCTCCCCCTAGGTCATATTTAAATTCTATTAAAGACTTTAGACTTAACAGAAAAAGGGAGACTGCAGATTCCAGAAAGGACAAGGTCCTTGCCTTGAGCAACCTGTATCCCAACACTTGTCCCTATTAAATAATCAAAAACCGATTCAATGGGTTAATGATGTTTGCTAAAAGTGAGATGATATATCTTAAAGAAAGGTCTTGAAGTAATTTTTAAAAAAAATTAAAAAAAAAAAAAAACGCCCCGGGTCAGTATCAACCTTCTATTTCTCTTTTTAGGAAAGGCTAATGGAACAACAAAATAGCCCCCATGAGGCTGGCTGGAGAAAATACTGGCAAAATATATATTTGTGCTTACCAAAAATCCACTGATTTTTCACTTTTTAATTTTTTACCCATTGCCAAAAATAACGATTAAAAAAAACTGCAACTTTAGGCAAGATGTCACATTCTTTTTTAAAAAAAAACTCCTATTTTGCCCAAACAACAGCACTAAAGAATAACTAACTGATTTGTTGCCCAACGTGTACGAGGATACCACAAAGAAGAAATCTCAGTTTAGAGTGAGCGAAAAGCTTAAGGAAGTGTACGCAGTCCTTATGAGACAGGAATCCATGGTCCAGGGATTGGAGGAGGAGAAAGGAAGCATCAGAGAAGCGAAGGACTAGGGATTGAGAGAGGCTGAGGAAAGTCTCTAACAGAGGAAAACCATCAGCATGAGGATGTTTTAGAACCGTGTGAAGAAGTGATAAAAATTAAGATAAAATGGAATGGCACAAAGACAATGAAGTAAAGGAAATGCTCAACATAAAAACAACAGTTCAGGGGGCGCCTGGGTGGCTCAGTCGGTTGAGCATCCGACTCTTGATTTTAGCTCAGGTCATGATCTCAGGGTTGCGGGATCGAGTCCCATGTCGGGCTCTGTACCCAGTGCGGAGTCTGCTTGTCTCTCTCCCTCTGCCCCTCCCCCTGCTCTCTCTCTAAAATAAATAAATCTTTAGGAAAAACCCAACAGTTTAGAGGTAAACTTGAAGCTCGACTGCTTGCTAGCTGGGCTGAAGCACTCTCAACTCCTGGTTGTTTTTTTTTTCCCCTACCTGTGAAATGGAAATAAAAGGATCCCTAACATGGGGCTTCTTACGATCAAATAAGTGAGTATTTATTTATCAGGCAACGTGTAAGCTGTCAACTCCTCAGTAAATATTAACATAAAACATAGAGCCATAGTGACTTTCCAAAAGGAAACTGGAGGCTTGAGATTAAGGATTTACTAGGTTCGAGATGAGAACAAGTAGAACTATTTGGACCGGAGATCAGGCTGAGGAGACAAAATCTGACATTACGCCGAGAGCATCCAGACATTGATAACATCCTCGGTTCTCTACAAAGCATATAATTCTAAGACACCGAAATAGAATTTTCTCCCATCTGCATCTATACATGCAGGGGGGCGGGGGTTAAAGGACAACTTGGACAGGCCCTCACACGTACACATGCCTTTTGAAAAAAAGAAATATATATTCCGGATTCCCTATTACTGTCAGAGGAGGAAAAAATCTCTTACACTTTGGGAGAAAAAAAAAAAATGTACATGTCAACACAAAACTGGCATTTCCCATTCATTCATTGATAGCAGTATTACCATCAACTAGCCTCATAATACAAATATGATTTAGGAGAAGATTTAGGATTTCCAGATTCATATACACAGTAATCTTCCTTCAAAAAACTGTAAAGCCCACTCAGTGCAAATTTCATCAGATACTATCAATATCCCCAAATTGCCTGGCAAGGGAAAGGATCACTGGGGCACCTGGGTGGCTCAGTCAGTTAAGGATCTGCCTTTGGCTCAGGTCATGACCCCAGGGGTCATGATCCCAGGGTCCCGGGATCAAGCCCTGCATCCATCGGGCTCCCTACTGAGTGGGGAGCCTGCTTCTCCCTCTCCCTCTGCTTCTCCCCCTCCTTGTGCATGTGTTCTCTCTCTCTCTGTCAAATAAATAAAATCTTTAAAAAGAGAGAGAGAGAGAAGGGACCATGAAGCCAAGAGCCATGAAGTTTTTTCAATTCTGTGATGGTTAAGTGACTCTTTCATCCTTTCCTTTACTCCTGAAGAAGTTTACAAACCGCTCAGATACTCCAGTCCCTGACTTGTAAAATGGGAATAATAATATCACTTCCCTTTGAGGGTTTTCAGAGGCCTAGAAGAGTTAATACTTCTGAAGTGTTAAGAACAGCACTTGGCACAGAGAAACATCCAGTACATGTTTATTATTATCACTATTCCGTTTGATTACTTGAGGGAACAAAGCAGAGAAGTCATGCCGTTTTCTGGTAGTGTGTTGGTATTATAATTTGCCCCTTCAGTTGGACCTGAAATTCTGGGAGGTGGCATAAATATTCTGTTTATTGAGAAAATAATGAAAGGACTACACAAAGCTTAGACTGGCAAAGAGACATATTAATGACATTCTTGCAAATGTAACTGAAGATATTTAAAGACAGGAGAAAGCATGGATTTTTCTACCTTGGAGAGCTGCTTAACCCAAAGGTTCCAGGTTTTAACTTTGAGTTGTTTGTTGGTTTCTGTTGATGGGGATGGGAAAGACAGATGGAAGGTAGAGAGGAAGTTCCTAGACTGCTCCTCTTCAATGACCCTTTTGGACCCATTAACTTCTCATCCATATGTTCACAGGTTAAATGTGAAACCCAGCCTTGGTCCATCCTGAAGACCCGATCTCTTATCCACCTGCCTTCTACTGGAAAAAAAGCAGCAGCATGGGGAAAAGGACACTCTGATTGGCCATGAGAATAAATGGGAGGTTGCTGCTGGGAGAAAAAAAGTGAAGTTGACTTTCTGGAGAATATGGCAGATGCCTCCAGATGCTCACCGAGTATCCTGCCTGTGGTACACACAGGAGCATCACTGGGCAAAGACCAGTTCTCCCGGTGACCCCTGACCTCCACTAGGCAGGTAGAGTCTCCATGTACTGTCAGTCTCTATAGCTTTCTGAGTCATACTGATAAGGATGGATTAGAAAGAAAGGTCTAAAAAAATCTTTCTGCAGCAGTTCTTAAAATTGCCTGGCTTTTTATCTCTTTCCTAGCCTGGGATATTGGGCTACTTCTTCAAATACTCCAGTAGGCTGAAAATGAATTATCCTTTGCTTTCACTTACGCTAGCCAAATTTGGCTCCGAGACAGCATTAACTAACATGGC